GGGGGAGGGGGCACTACCTTGGACAGTCAGTCAGAAGGTAGGGCTGTATCTCACTCATGGGGCAGTGTCTAGGAGTTCAAGGGGCAGTAGCAAACCTCAAAATATACAAATTGTAATCATTTTTATGTTTTATTCTTGGCTATCCCAACATATCTATGGCTAAATTCAGCAAATGAATTACCTGGAGAAGGGGTTGCAGGGAATGTTGAGGGGAAATCTGTTCCTTCTCACAGTATGCCTTGTCTACTCCAGAAATTGTAATTTAGCTGCATACATCTGCATTTGACACTTACAGGAATGTTGGAGGCCCGTGTCCCCTGCTGTGACCAGGGCTTCCATTCTCCGACCTCTAGGTCACTACAGGACTCCACAATAATATAGGGCTCAGAGGGAACAGGCATCCAACAGTACTGTAAATGTGGAATGATGCAGTCTAAAGGAACGCTGGAAACGCAGGAAGGTAAGAGATATGTGTGGCCGGAGAGGTGAGTATAATACTTCATCCATTGATGGGAACTTTCATCTGGAATTTGACTACTGACAGAGTCACTTTTTTTGCCAGTTTTTTCATAAGAGAAAGAGTGATTGTATCCTTGTAAAGTGGACTTTCATTCCCCAGATCCACTTTAAATCCCTGCAATCCTCCCCCCAATTTAAAACACTGATTACAATTTTTTTTGTCTAAAGGAGACTGCATTGCTGGATCAGGAAGGTACGAGACACGATTGGCCAGAGAGGTGAGTATAATACCTCATCCGTTGCTGGGAATGTTGATCTGGAATTTGGTTAGCAACTGACATGGTCACTTTATTTATATACGAGGGTAAATCCAAGAGTAAAGGCAATTTGTAAACATGGCAACCAGAAGAGAGAGAAGATTGCGAATTGCAGCACATTTAGCCTGTTGGATAGTTTGATCATGTGCAGTACAGCGCCTGGTCTTTACATAGTATTTTAGGTTGAAGAAAGACATTATTCCATCAAGTCCAACCTATTAGGATCTCATTCTAGGAGTACCTGTACCCCTGTATATTACGGTCCCTTAAGAAATCGTCCAAACATTTCTTGAACAATTCCACATTATTTGCTGAAATCACCGCCTGTGGCAGTGAGTTCCAGACCCTAACTGATCTTACTGTGAAGAACCCCCTTCACCCATTGTGCTGGAATTTTTTTTCCACCAATTTTAGGTGGTGGCCTCTAGTTTTTGTAATGGAGTTAATTTTTTGCTAGTTTATTGCTAATGTTGCTACCACCATTGAACATTTTGTACATGGAGATCATATCCCCCCTTAATCTCCTCACCTCCAATGTGAACATGTTTAAATTTAGTAGCCTTGTCTCGTAGCTCTGGTCCTCTATACCCCTAATTAGTTTGGTTGCCCTCCGCTGGACTTTTTCCAACTTAAGGACATCTTTTCTTAGTACAGCCGGCGCCTCTCTCTCCCCTCCCTGCAATACATCCCCTTTTTTAATATAGGACAAAACCCTGCCAGCTTTGTTTACAGCAGCCTGGCACTGCAAGCTACCTTTCAGTTTGTGGTCTACAACAAACGGGGGGTCAATGACCCCCAAATCCTTCTCCATTTCTGACTTCCCTAGCGGCATACCCATTTAGTCAAGTGGAAGTTACATGGACAGAGAGATGGACTCTCCATTGTGAGGTTGCACCATTGAAGAACAATGTTCCGTTGTGCACTTTCTTTGGCTGCACATTTGGATATCAGCTATGGATCCGTATTTGCCATAGTGTGTGATGAGTTGGGATAGAGGAAAGTGTGTGCACGATGGGTTCCCAAACAGCTTACTGCTCTGCACAAGCAACAGCGTGTGGAGATTTTTACTGTTCAGACAGTATGAAGAAGATCATATTCTGGAGAAAATTGTCACCAGTGATGAGACATGGGCGCACCATTACGACTGGAGAGAATAAGGAAGGAGGCGCTCTGCAGTTACAGGTTCACCTCAGATGATAAAGTAAAGGAAGCGGTGCACACTTAGCCCCAGCAGCAGCCGAAAATCTTTTTCCAAGCCCCCCCCACCATTCTTGCTTTGGTCAGAATGGCGTGTCCTGCTCCCATATTCCATATGTCCTGTCACGTATTTCAGGAGCAGAGCCTTACAGTGGCCAGTAGGCACACAACATCAGGGGCCAGATACACCATCCAGAAGAGACAACTGTTTCCCAATGGCATCAGCGAAGAAGATGGTGGTGCAGGAGTTGGAGATTGGCAGTGTAAAAAAAAAAGGGGGGGGTAAAGTTCCTCCTTTTAAAAATAACAAATTGCAGCACCGACCCTGTGTAAACCCCAAAAAATGACTTCATTTCTAAGACCAGTTTTGTGTTCTGCAAAGACTTTGTGCTGTTTGACTACTTTATACAAGAAAAATACTAAATTAACTCAGGCGGCGAACAACCTGAAGTAGGAGTTATCTCAGTTTTGTGGGTATCATATTGTGCGCTACTGAAAACACTATAAATATGAAGGACTGGAGAGCGCAGAGATTTAATGAAGTGTGCGTCCACTGGGAGCATTGACGGCTCACAAATGAGGGGGGATGTATTAATCCATGCATATTGGGTATTGCGAAGCTCCACACAAAGCTTGGCAGTACTTTATAGCCCAAAGCCCTGAGATGACCTTCCCACTGGTACAGCCTTTATGGCTGATTTAGCTTTCTGATAAAACTCATGTTCCTCCTGCCATTTTATGAAGCTGTGCTGTTGTGTGAATCACGGTCACAGCTGGAGAACTTCAGTATCCACAGGGCTGAACATTTTTACTGTAAGACTGGAGTTCATGCAGATTAAATGCTTGTGTAAGTTCTCAACCACTATTTTTTTTCTCATAGTCTTGTTTATAACAGATGCTCATAATGTTTGGATTTGTTAAATGCCTAAAGTTGTATTTCCTTCTTTCCGTCCTTGCGTAAAAACATATTTTCAAAGATCAAGTCAAGGTGGATAAATATAGGCAGGGAATTTCACGATATAGTATGTTTTCTCTGTCTATTGTTTATAGTTTGCTGTGTTACGCTGCAGTTTAAACAGTTGTGTTAGTCAGTCATACAGTTTTATTCTTTTTTCTTTGCTCAGATTTAAGGTTTGTGTTGCTTATTTTGCGACGAATTTAGGAGTTGCCGTTTGTTTAGACTACAAGGCTCCCTTTTATTAGTTGTGGTTTTTAAGGTTATTATGTGTTTATTTTTTTTTAAATGTGCATAGCAAAGATTCTTTCCAAGTCTACTAAGAAATAGGAAAAACCACAGACAGGCTATCTACTAATTTATTCTCTATGGAGGGTTATTTACTGCATTTATGCATAGTGATCATGTGTTTGCTTCAGAGATCTGAGCTAAGGGACTGTGACAGGCTGAATGTACCTTGTTATTTTATTGGACGATGAGTGTCATTATAGTAGTAACAGTGAAGAAGTGGTATATAGGATATTTTTTTCGGCCTTCATGCAAAGCATAATGCTGCATTTTGGCTAAGGTGCATTGTCATGTATCAAAAGGCCCTGCATGCAAAAAAAACATACTTTCTAAAACCCAGTCTAGTCACCTTGGACAGTATGGCACCTTGCTGACTCCACAAGATTCACAGACAGTGTCAACAAGAAAGTTCAGAAGTAGAATCCAACATAGTTTATTCCAGCCTGGAAGATTACAAAGGACGTTTTTCTGGGTTTTTCTTGCAGTTGACAAAACATTCCTGCAGCCTCACCCTTGTGGTTGTGGTGCAATTTACCATCGTCATTAGAAAGGCTAGCGGGATATGAGTATAGTAATTGATAGGGAAGCTGTGTGAACAATGATAAATGGACAATATTGAGTAAAACACATATCTCTGACCATGAAAGTAACACTTAGCAATCTCCTGAGTGCTTATTTTGTTTATTCATTTTCCATACAAATAAGGTTTTCCTTAAGGGGTTTTGTAAGGGAATGAATGGTAATGAATGTAAGTTCGCGAACGGAAGCAACATTTTGCCAAAATTCCTGTACGTGAACAGAAGTGTTTGTGAATCGAGGTATTCCTCTACTGGGGTATTTTCATTGTTTCTGGCAACTGAGCAAAGTGGCAGAGAACTGAGAAAGGTGATTGTTCTGCTGGAAAACATTTTGCCTTGTCCTGCATAGACAAAGCACAGGCCTCCTTTACGGACAGACATTGTACAGTGTCTGGTGCTGGTTGGTTTATCCCAGTAATCAATTTATCGATTGTCTGTTAATTAATGAATTCTTGAAGCTGTAATGAGATTAGCGTCCTTCAGAAATGAACAGAGGATGTATCTGTTAATTAACATGATAGCATTTGTTTACCACAGAGCAGTGTGCAATGTTCAGGCACCTAATACCGTGTTTACCCAAAAATAAGACACTGTCTTATATTTTTTGGGGCTCAAAAGAACAAACTAGGTCTTATTTTCGGGGTAGGTCTTTTTTTTTTTTAATGTACAACAATCCACACTTATTCATGTACAAAAATATGGTGATCAGGGCAATCAGGGGTGCCATACCTCTCCAAGAGCAATTTGCTAACCAATCGCTGGCCAGAATGAGCGAAGCGCACTTTCACTATAGATTCCTCAGGCGGAGCGCATTTGATATCACTCCTCCTGTGGCAGGAGCCGGCGCTATAGAAGAGGCATTGGCTTATGCGGCTTTGCTCCCTCCGGTGCCACTTTGCTTCCTCTAGCGCTGGCTTCGTTGGCACCGCTGACTCTCTCCTGTGGCTCTTCAAGTTCCCCCTTATGCCACCACTGGCCCTGGGAATGGTTACAACTAGGTCTTATTTTCGGGGTGGGTCTTAGAGAATCTTTCCAAAGGGTCCACAGCAATAAATGCATTTTTATTACTAGAGCTGGTAAGATCATAGTTGGGATCGGTTTTTTAATGCTGTCTGCATTGTTATTTTTGAGGCTTCCTTAAGAGGGTCATACACCTATAGATTTTCTGCAGATTTTCTATGGTCAGATGGAATAAGTGCAACAGATTCCTCCATCTACGCTAAACTGTGTGCATGGAGGAATCTCCCACTGGGCCAAGCTTCAGTATCGGGGAAACAGGGTAGCAACCAGTCAGAAACCATCTTTCATTTATCACTTTATTTTATTAAAGTTGAACCCAGCTTACATTTTAAAAAATTGTTAGCAGGTTGAGCTTTATGGCAAAAGAGTAAAATGCAAAATGAACAGCTCACGCCTGTCATTCATCCTTGTCATCCACATTTGGTGCATGCATAACCCTCTTCTGGAGTACTTGTCTTAAAAACTGCAAGACCGGAACACAAAGCTCTTCTAAGAATCATTGGTTGTTTTTTGTACAGATGCATGTGGAATAAATGTTAAATCTTTATGGAAGAGCATTGTGTGCCGGTTGTGCAGTTTTTATGGCAGAAGAGACTCTGCCATAAAACCTTTTTCCCTTCCTGATACATTTTTTAAAACAAATTGTACATTGTCTGCGGCACGTGCACAGTGCAGTGTACAATTCCAGCCCATTCCCAGCATTTTACAGAGGGAAAAAGTGGCAGGACAATGAAGCTTTTGTGTGCATGCGCAGAAGTTAAATCATCCATGGCTGACCGATGACAGAAGACTCTGGACCAGGATGAAGACCAAGAGAAGATGGAGGAGTCTGAGTGAAAAGGTAGAGTACGGACCTGTTATCGCTGGAAAAGGGAACACTAGAAGGCACCTAAAATCTAGAGGGGAGGTTAAAGCTGGCCACATGTTTACTTTAAATTATCTCTACTTATACAGCAAGCACATTTTAGCTGAGTTCTGGGGGGCAATCTGGCCCTTCTCCTGTATGCCATGCTGTAAATTTAGACTAGTTTGTAAGGCACTTGCTACCCTAATAACCAGCTAAGTTTAAAGCCCTTAGTGGCTAAAACGCATCAATGATCTGTACTACGTGAACTGTTAGTATATTATTGCAAAAGAATCAGGAACCGTGTGCCAGATTACAAATATTTATTTCTGTTGACAGAGGGGGACGGGAGCCTTACTGAGCACTAGTGTTTCCTTAAAGTCCAACTAATGTAGAGCAGGTATACAGTTCTAGTTTCACTCATGACCAGTCCCGTGACCACCCACAACTGGTCTGGTGTCACTGGGCTTTTTGCTGTAGGGACAATGCACATGAAGGCACACGTAATTTTTGCAGTACTTACAAAAGGAGTTTAAACTCCAAGACAGGATTTTTTTTAGGTTTTGGATAAGGTTGGTACATAACAAGTTTACTGCTGTGTTCCCAGTAGGGAGATGCAACACCACGAGCCAAAAGAACGTCAACAGGACAGAAAAAGCGGAAATCTCCCCAACGAGCGCATACACAGCAACCTAGGGCTGGGTTCGCACCTAGGCGGCACTGGTTTTGCGCGTTTATACGCATGTTAACAGCATGCAGTTATGTATGCGCGTACATGAAGACACGTGTTTTGATTGCCAGCTCATAAACCATTGTGGGCAATGGAAGAACGTGTGTATAAACTAGGGATGCACATATACTTTTCGTGTACCAGTGCAGATATTTGGCATTTTTATGAGAACTACCAGGGTGGCAGCGGTTGCAGCTGGGACCTGGCTCTGGCACTCCACCACTGTCCTGAAATAATTTGCCTGTATTGTTTTGGAAAAATTGTCACATGACAATAAACAAAAATGTATCAGTACTCGTACTTGTAAGTACTCGGCAAGTACCAGTACTCTAACTCGCAAAACTGGTATCTTTGCATCCCTTTATTTATATTTATAAAAACAAAATCGTACATTAAAACAGAGATGTACAAATCCCAGGAGCTCCGCGTGCTCCTTACAAATGACAGCTGCCTCCTAATTTTTGAATTTTTCTCTAGTCTAGTCTTGGAGCTCAAAAGTATCGGTACATGTACTCGTACTTGTACTGAGTACTGTAATTGGTATCTGTGCAACCCTAGTATAAACACACAAAAACGCGCAGGAAAATGTTTTGGGGCATTTCCAATGAAGTTTATGGAGCAAAGAAGCGCTTTTAACTGCCCAACGAAGCTCCTGTGTCTTTTCGGGCGTTTTTCTGCTGGCGTCTTCCTGCTCAGGTGTGAACCAAAACCATTGAAAATCATGGGATTTCGTGTGTTGGGCAGTTAAAAGCGCCTTTCGAACTACTCAAAAACTCCTAGGTGTTAACCAGGGCTTAACCTAGCAGATGTCTAACTGTTGCCCACACACAAAAAAGTAAATTTATTGCTTGTGTCTCCATTGGAGAAATATCCCCTCAGTATCTGTCTCAGTAACAGGAAGCGAGGGAGGAGGATCTCCCAAACAGTCATACAGGCAGCAATACAGGCAGCAACAGAACCTAAGAGAGGCCTTAACCCTTCTCTTCTAAAACGTTTTGGATGGAGCAGAGCTTTACATTTAAAACAAATAACTAAACACGGGCGAGGAATTTGCATAGCTCACAAAACAGAATTTAAGTAAGATCTGAAAACTAGACAGATCCTTTGGCTTATACAGAGAATAAAACAACTCTTTGGCATTGGCCCTTCATTCATAGTGACATGATGAGAAAATTCATAAAATGAGAGAACTGTAACTTGGAAAGTTCAAAAACTTGTGCCAGATCTTAAAACTACATATTCAAATTGGTGCACAGAGTGTGCTGAACTACACTTCATAAAAAAGTTTCCTTCAATGTCTCTTGTAAGTGGAATGCAAATCTTTATCCCTGCCCTAAGATCTCAGTGCTGTTTAACACTTGCAGTGTGCAGAATCTCGGCCAGTTCTGTATCGGGTTATTTTACTTTTATTTTTCATTAAAAAAAAAAGTTA